TCCCAAAATAAAACAAAAACAATAATACATTACCGTGTGCACTAGTTCATTTATCAGTGTGACTGACTATGAATCAGATTTCGCCTTCTACCGATTCATATTCGTAATTACTTTAAGTGCATATTTTTTTTCTGAATATTTCATGGGTTAAATAACACATTAATTTTACAAATAAAAAAGTGTAATGACACGAGCTATAACAACATTAACGATGTTAAGACAGGTAGACAACTTTATGAAGATATGCAAAATGTTAGTTTCATTCAGTGCAAAATAAAGTTGATAAGTGCAGAATTCCATTGTTTTAGCTCTCAATATTATAAACCAACAATAAATCAATCAGCTAGTTAACTGACACCAATCAATATAAGTTGAATTTACACAAAACCTATTCTTTGTTACTTAAATTCAAATAGTCTACACTGAACCATTTGTTTGAATGATACTTTATTGATCGTTTAGATGGCTTGTTTGAAAATTACCAGGTGATCTACCAATGTAACACTTGAAATATTGAATAAATGGGAAATATTTGTCTCCTGTCGTCATTTGCTTTTCATTGCAATGCATTCAGTTCATTAAATTCAGATATGTATTTTATAGTGAATTTACTGAGACAGTACAGTTGATGAGAAAATTCAAGCTTGTTGCTTTTTTCACAAATGAACTTAGTTTCGGTTAATTAGAGGTTTCCTAATAATTACCTTCAGCTAGTCAACACAAGTAAAGATTCATTGGGATGTTTATACACCTTGGAAACTGGAGATCTTTAAGTCAATTTGTAAGAAGGTATGAACAATATGATAATGATTACTTTCATCTAAATAATTATTGAAATTATTAAACTACCATTTGAACATTGTTGATGGAAACCGACTTCATAAACCTATATTTAAGTGAGATGAGTACACTAACTAAATTAAAACAGAAAGTGGCGGAATTTCCTTTCTGGATACTTTGACTTTAACTAGGGTATGCAACAACGGTACCGGCAACCTTACAATGGAATAGGTAGTTCTTATTGAACGTAACCGAATTATCATAGTACTACATAGAATGATGAGAGCTATTTAAATAGTCTTTGACTGCTTGGCTTTGAAGTGTTGTTTTGTAGTGGATGCTAATAAAATAAACTTAGTATCTTGATGGTATTACGACATGTCGTCTAATTTCCAACGAGAGATTAGTTGTTTATTCACATTTTAAATCTAGTTAAGAGTAGAGTAGCCCAATAACGCAATAAATATCGTTCAGTTTTGTACAAAACGGATTTAATTTTTTGAGGAAAAATGAGTTTCTTCGTGATTTTTAGAAATGCCACCTGGATAGCCGGCTTCATGCTGATTATTTTCAAAAGTTCATTAATATATTTTATTCCATAATGTTGGGATCCAATCATTAGTGTAATGTGACACATCGAACTTTAGAAAGTTGGCATTACTATTCAATTTCTGAAGATATAGTGATTGAAATGAGTTCCAAAGCTATAGTACAGTGAATGATACACAAACCGATAAGTTGATATTAACTAATATCATACTGTTGACAGATAATTCCCATTTAAACACTAAAAATTAAAAACACGAAGCTCAGCGAAGGGATCTTTTTTGGAAAAAGATCCCTTCGCTGAGCTTCGTGTTTTTAATTTTTAATATCATACTATCTAGTCTTTAGAGTCAATCAAATTCTATTTGTTTCATCTTAAATATAACCAATAGACTAAGTGATTCTATCTCTCAATGGATGTTTTTGATGGTGCGTCAGTCTTGCTCCAAATAGATTATTGAACAATTTTCTGATGATGACCCAGAGCATCACAGGTTCGAATTCCATAGCAAGCATTAGTCTTTCTAAATCTTTGAAAGAACCTTACTAATGATTACTAGCCAACGCAAACCCTAAGTTCAAAGCATAATGTTGATTGTATCCAGCTTAATAATATCGTGACTGACAGCTGCGTGGGTGAATCTATTAGGCAACAGCATTATGAATACTGTAAACTATAATCATGTTTGTAGAAAAGGATTAAGTTTGATAGAACAAGGAATTAATTTGCTGATAATAAAAAATGTAAGTCTATCCTGTTTTTTTCTTCTAGTGGTGTATTAAAAAGATAAAATAAGTAAATAAATAAATAAATTAGCCTAATAATGATAATTTTTGCTGATACAATGAATAATATAGTGTTGAACGTTCAGTTATTCTCATGGGTAACACATTGCTTATTGGTCCATAAAAAAGACATAAAAATTAAAACAGCTGAAGTTATCATTTCAGTGACATCAAAAACACTACAGACATTTTTCTTCTGAAAAATACTTATTGTCTAATAAAGGTGATCTTATTAGGAATTACTGAGTGAGTGAAGGAATAAGTGAGAAGTGAACAGTTACTTTACTGTATTGTGTAACTGTATCATTCAACAGTACATAGTTTTGTCTGTAATGTCCATGAAATTATAGCATGGAGGGATTACAATTTTAATTTTGAACCACTGTATTTTTTTCGTATTGTTGAACAAGTTTCTTTTATTTTTTAGATTCGGTCAACCTGTAACGTATGAATTCTTATTCATTACTGCTATGAAAGTTCTGACCTACAACCTTGGAGAGGTTGGTGATTCTGGTAAAGTTTGGACTGGTTATAGTTGAGAATTTTAATGATTTAAATCAAAGAAATGGAGTATTTCAATGGGTGGTAACTAGTTTATTATTAATCTTTGACTATCGCGATGTCTCATTACACGGCTATGGAATCATACAACACAACTATCTGACATTATATTTATATACCGTTGTTAATAGTGAAATTTTGAACACGCATTTCATCCTGTTTGGGACAATTCAACTTGTATAGAATTAAGAATGTAGCACCCTTTTTTTAGAAAGTTATCAAAAATATTTAGTTTGGTATTCCGAATTACAACTTAACTAGAATGTACATTTTGATTTAATTTTCAAAATTACAATATAGCGTACACTACATACAATTATGAACAACTAAGTGGTTTTTATTTGGGAAGGAAAACGTTTGGCCACAGGTTACCGGACTATAATAACTTGAGTCTCAGTATTTTAATGCTGTATCATACAACATCTGTTTTATTATTTACTAATGGCGGCTAGTATAGTCGTGTTATTTAATTGAGTGAACTTTCGATATAAGTTCAGTTAGTCAGTCAGACTCAATGTAGAACCTGGTACATGTGTACATGAATCCAAGACACAATACCCGATTAGCAAGGTGTGGTAAAATTGTAACAGAGATAGTAACAGTATTAGTGGTAATGCAAAAGTTTAGGTATGGAAGAAACGATTCAGGAAAATATGGTTTAATAAAAGTTTTAAAAAGTTACAAGAAATACAGACGACGCCAACCGTCGAGGTAGGCAGTAGTTGGGTATACATAACGCATGTCCCAACCACGTCAACTGATGAAGATTTACTATCTCATCAATCGATCTCCCATTTTCACTTAGTACTCCACTCCTAACCCAGGCATTATTGAATCGGTGGTTCGAAAATACATCAGCTATACTTCGAAGGCATCACTGATCGAATACTAATAACCTACAAATGTTCTCTATTCTTAATGGCTGTTTCACATCCATGAATTAGAACGGAGAAAACTGTTGAGCAGTAAAGTCGCCCTTTGGTTTGAAGACGGATGTCTCGCCTACACCGCAAGCGACTCAAGTTGGCAAAAGCCAATTGAGCCTTCTGAATCCGTACTAATATCATCCCAGATACAAGACAACCAGGACTGATGAGACTCTAAGTAGAGGCGAAACAGTTAATACGTTCAACTGCTTCACTTCCTATTATTAACCCAGGTGCTAACGCAGACCATTCCTGGAGTAACGTTGTACATTTAGAGAGAGAATCATATCCAAAATACACTTGCACTGTTGCTTAAGGTAGTCAAAAGACTCTGAATTTTGTTGGTATCATCATTAAACAGAACTATATTATCTGTGTATTCTAAGTTAACAAGTAAATCACGTTGTAGAAGATCAACCTCTGAAAAGCTAGAGCACTATCCCCAGAAGGATGTCAGTGACAAAGTTAAGTAAAAACTGTGATAGCGGATAACCCTAACGAACACCACTTGAAGTATTCAGTTTCGGTGACAGTTTACTATAAGCTCTGACTAGACCAGTAGTTTACGAGTAGTGAGCCTGTAAAAGGTTAATGTATTTCTTTGAAACACCTTTCATTGACGGGCACTGCCACAGAATCTTACGATCAAAAGAGGTGAACGTCTTCTTAATGTCGAGCAATCTATTTTTATTCCATAACCTACCGAATTTTGAATATTTAGTTTATACATCCACATTTAAGTATGAAACTACCCCCGATGTTCTCTGGTTTGTTCTTCACGGCTCCTGTTTAAGCGTCGAAGTTGAGTATGAAAGTAATGTCAGATGGTGAGCCACTGGAAACCCCATCCAGTACTAAACCAGTGAGGTGTAGGTCGCGCGGTGTGCTAATTACTTTCAGTCCATTGGGTTGGGTTTCAATCCCCCATATTTTCGGTTTCAGTAGTTTAGTAATGTACCACGACCATCTTCTCACTTAACTAATTTCCAGAATCCATTAAACTAAATAATAATTGGTAACACCATAATTATCATAACTAAAATTAAAATTTAATGAATAGTGTCACAATTCAAATAAATAATCTTTTAGTTATTGATCAGACTCTACATATTCAAAAGTGAAATCCAAGCACCGGCTGAACAAAATATCGACAATAACAATATTAGGTTTTGAGTCCATCTGACATGTACATGAGAGTAACACACAAATGTTAGCGGTTTGGTATGCTAACCAGCCGAGTTGCACCTTTTTATGCCAATCTAAATTGATTATTCTTATTATATAAAAACAACAACTAAATGATATATAAACTGTGTTAAAGTTTCATTCCTATAACAATATGAGATAAATATAATAATAATAATAATAATAATAATAACGTGTGAATAACAAAATACCTACCAGTATTTTCAGTTCGTTTAGGCGTAATTTGCTTTCTTCTATGCATTTTAGAATTTATATCTAAATGAGTTTGTATTGTCATAGTTAATCAAAGTAAAATCTCGAACATGGGCACATGTTATATAAATATTATTGACTAAATGTGATTCAATCGATTAAAATGAGTAGTATATGTCACAGGTATTCTGATAGTAAATTGTTGTGTTTCTTTTCATTTGTCAGTGTAATTATTGTTGCTGATCTTGTAGATATTGTCTGATTACAATTTGACTTTGATGTATTTCTGGGAGCCACCTTACTGATTAGTTTTGAATTTTCTACAAAGGAATAAACACAAATAACATGATATGTACAATTGTTTCTCTCTTCCTCTTTTACACGCACAATCTCTAATTTCTACGATTGGGAATAAATTTTCTAAAAAATTGAACGAAATATATTTCTAGTGCTAATCAAATATCAAAGTGCATTTACTGTCTAACAGGATCAGTAAAATAAAGAGAGAAGGAAATAATTATGTATTACTGTTTATTTTACTTACCGTTATCAGTTTCGTCTATATAAAACAAAATGAAATTTGATTAATGCGGTGAATTTTTATTTTAAAATATAGTTTTTGTTATTATTTAAACAAATGAACACATTTACGCAATCACCCCTTCATTAAAATCGCTAATTTCTAATTTGACATGTGAGATTTACACAATAAACATGATAGACATTTGCTATCATTGACTTTGTAACTAACCCCCTCTGTTTATTTTTGAATATGGTTACAATAATTAGTAATAAATAAAATTAGTCAATTATAAGTTAAACACAGACAGACATATACTTGAAAATGATAATAAAAAAGGCACGCTTTTTAATTAGATGTAGTGTATCAGTTACCTATTTCAGTTTTCCTTCACTGACGACAGTATTACTAATAATCATAAGATTCTGTATCGCGCAATAAATTGTCCGAATGGATCCTTGAAAGTAATCAGTAAGATGTTTTCTACTCAAATTTCTTACTTATAGTAACACTTTTTGGAAAAAAAGTTAACTTATTGAAGAAGATTCGTACATCTGTTTATGTGTAATATCAGTTGGTAGTGGAAAATATGAAAAAAAATAATTCGCCTTATTTAAAACTTATCAACTGAACTTGCCCATATCCTGGTGTTTATTCTACCAAGCAAGCAACTGATTTACGGTAAATAACTACTATTCTGCTGAATTTAGTTAATATAAGAGTTTTGACATCTATATTCTTTTTACCTTTTACCTCATAATCACATAGTTGAAATTATTAATTCACAAATAATTTATAATGTATCCATTTCAAATGAACTTACGCCTGCTATCTCTAGTGGAGCAGCATAGACTAAGTACCAGCATTCTCCATCTAACTCAGTCCTGGACAATCCTTTCCACTTGTTTCCAGTTGCTTTCCATTCTTTTGATGCCTGCTTCCAATTTTCGATTCACTGTGTTCTCCGGCTTTCCCTTCAGGATTCCAAGTTAGTGCTTACCTCGCGATTCAGTTAGATGATTTCCCTACTATATATCCTACCCACCTCCAACATCTTTTCCTAATTTCCCCTTCAGCTGGAAGCTGGTTTGTCCCATTCCACAGTAAGCTGTTGATATCCAGTCAACAGACAATTGTTTAGAAATATTTGCACTTTCTTGTTGATGGTTGTGGTAGTTCTTCAAGTTTCAGCTCCGTACAGTAGAACTGTTTTGACGTTCATATTGAAGAGTATGACTCTGATGTTGGCTTGCAGACAGTTGTTTTGAGTTGCATCTGTTCTTCAACTGTAGAAATGAGGCCCTTGCTTTGCCAATCCTCGCATTCACGTCTGCATCCGATCCTCCTCGTTCATCGATGGTGCTACTGACCAGGTACGCAAAACTTTCCACCTCTTCCACAGTTTCCCCGTCAAGTGCGGTTGGGTTGGCATTCTCCGTGTTGTACTCGAGGATCTTGTTTGTCCTCTTGTGAATGCTTTCACCTACCACTTCCTGCTACACTAGTTACTTTCACTTGCATTTGTTTGTACGTACGGGATAGAAGAGTAAGGTCATCCGCGAAGTCCAAGTCGTCTTGTTGCATCCAAGCTGTCCATTTTATACCGTGCTTCCCCTCAAATGTCGAGGTCCTCATAATTCAGTCAACCACCAGAAGAAAGAGGAAGGGGGGGCAGCTTTGTCTGACCCCGGTCCTCAGTTGAAATGCGTCTGTCAGATTTCCTCTATGCACAACTTCGCAGTGTAGTCCGTCTAATGAATTCCGGATGATGTTGACAATCGTCTCAGGTACACCAGAGTGTCGAAGAAGTTTCCATAATGGTCTCCTATACACACTGTCGAACACCTTTTCATAGTCAAGGAAGTTGATGTATAGTGACGAGTCCCATTCAATTAATTGTTCAATGATGATCCGTAGTGTCGCAATTCGGTCTGTGCACGACCAATCCTTACGGAATCTAACCTGATGATTTCGAAGTTGGGTGTCTACTGAATGTTTCATGTGGTTCAGCAGCACTTTGTTGAAAACTTTTCCTGCTACCAATTGTGGTGTGATGTCACTGTAGTTCTCATATTTTCTCGGATATTTTTGTTTGGTATCTTGATGAGGTATCCTTCTTTTCTCCCAAATCTTCCTGAATAGAACGTGTAGCATTTTTGCAGTTACTTCGGCTGGTGTATTGTCAGGTCCTACTACTTTCTAACTCTTAATTTGCCTGATGGCATTTCTAATCTAAGAAGTGGTCTGTTTCACCATACCTCTAAACTTATCATTTATTGATCGGTCTTATGGAGAGGTTTGAAATTTATTATCAGTTATAAATAAAGGTTAAAACCCAAACCACTTTGTATGGGCTCGAATTGTCCTATTGTTCATGTTCCTAAATATAGACTCTGGAATCTAGGTGTATCCAGCAAAATAACTCAAACTAGGACGAAAGAGCATTCTGGATTCCGTTACTAGTTACAATCCATCACTTTTATGATACTCAGTTTACAATTATATGTTAAACCACTTGGTCAAAGTTACAATATTTTACAGGTTGAGCAACATATTTTAGTGTCCATGTTTATCACAGTATTGTCTACTGATTAGTTTTTGAAGAATTCAGTAAACTAAATAAAATTATAGTGTGAAGAAAAACCTATACAATTTAACGTTTTCCAAGTCATGAATTTAAATAACATATTATGAATTTGATTCAGGAGTGTTTTATTGATATTATGATAGCATATAATGCCATGTAAATTTTTGTCTACAACCATTCAACAAAGAATAAAGGATTTATAATATTCTTCTATAGTTTCAATAACTTTGATATCTCCTATAAACAGATAATGAACTAGCACCACCTAAGTAACAGCATTATTAAAAAAATTATTTGTAAATTGTAGTAGTACTTTATGATTCCCAGATCATTAAGTTCAAAATAAATTAGGTTCAAAATATTTACACGTAAAAACTTCTTACACTTTTCTTGATTATTCAGTCAATGTGTAGAGAGGTTTGGCTAACAAAACTTGAACCTCTTGTAGATTTTAGTGTTGAATCTTATTATCTCAGCTCACTCAGTTAACAATATAGATGACTTTAGTTATAATTTATTTAATCAATATACTTTTCTGGAAGTATTCTCAATCAACTTATAAATTTGAGCTTTTGGTTAGAGCTAAGTGATATTTTAAAATTGTATTAGATGTTTATAATTTTTTGTAAAATTATTTAAAGAGTTTGACGTAAACTAGGATTATTGAATCTTGAAACCGATTTTAAGGCGGCTTTATTCAGAGATTGGTCCTAATTGTTGAATCACAAGAAACTAGGAGTTATCTAACCAGCTTGTGACGAAAACTATCTCGAAACTGCAATAACCCTTACAATCAGATAATTGGACGAAACCAGAATGACCAGGTTCAAATGATTTCATTCTACTCAATAAATGATAATCATGACTTCGCAAATATAGTTAACCTAGGCCACACCATTTAATCTAATTAACACAAGCATTCAAGTAATTTGAACTTCCTAAAGTACTTGACCAAACGATTGATAGTAATGATAGATTGAAAAAGAATTTCGGACTTGATTTCCACTATGATCGTAAGAACCAACTACTTCAGAGTCCAAAACCATAAGAACCAAGTCAAGTAATTATCTTTAAAAATCACTTCAACTAACCAGTCGATCTGTTGAATCATATTGATGAAACATAACAAAAAGCTCGGGTCCATAAGAGGAAAAAACGAAAGAAAAATAACACTAGTAACACGAGAAAACTGAAAATGAAAACGATGCGTCACTATATTTTCCACTAAGTGTTTTTGAGGTCATTTTATTTATTAACTAACATCAGTGTACACAATATTTATTGCAATAGGTCATTATGTAAGCAATACACTTTACAGTTTATATGTCATATTAACTAATACAATAATTGTTTCACTCCTTACAAGCGTGTGCCTTTGCCACATGTGATCTTTAATTAAATCAGAGTTGAAATGATTATCTAACAATAAATAAAATAATCATTTTTTAGAGTGCATGCCAGTAGTAAGAATAGTATGTATGCTAGAAATCTACAGTTTTCCTCTCATTTTACGAGAAAAAATTAATTAACTGAATAAATTCATTTGGTATTGTTTACTTGAATTTTCCCATTGATGTTTAGGACTGCAACTGATCAATCTTTTATTAGCATATGTGCATACTGTGCTTATTACCTCAATATTGCTATAAGTCACAGGTATTTTAAGCAGAGATGGATGGTGGCTAGTATTGGAATCCAGGACAATTATGCAGCATATGCAGCTAAACGAGATGAAAATAAATCGACTCTCGCAAATATTTTTAGAAGAGAATTTCGATTTCTCTGAAACTAACAATACTTAAAAACCATGATCGATGTGTTGTGCACCAGTAGTTTACAGCTAAACTCACTATAAAGTAAGAATTTCACTGATTCTATTCTAACGAAGAGGTTTAGACTGATCACTATAATGAAATTATAGATTGGGATGATAATATTATAATTGGGATATGATTAACGGTGGAATCTGGGACGGACG